CGTCCCTTCCGTGTCGCAGTGGTTTCCCAAATACGACGTGCTGTTGCCTGGCGCTCCGAGAAGGCAGGGCACGTGCTGGGAGGCAGCGCTGCCCGTTTCTACCTCTCTGGGGAAATAAGGAGAAAACTCAAAGAAAACAGGCATTTTCTATCAACAAATGAATAAACAAAGTAAGTGTTTTCCTGCAGATGTGTTTTTATTAATTCCTGTTTCCAGCTAAAAACTCCTCAGCACAGCAGTCTGACTCGCAGTGTTTTACAGAAACTCGCATTATTTTACAGAAAATACCTCGATTTCGGGGCTTGGTGTGCAGCTCATAACACAGACCAGCAACAGCCACTTTTTTAAGGTATTCAGCTCTTTCTATGCTTTGGGGTTGATTTTTTATTTCTGAGGGAGCCGCGCCAGGGTGAAAAAGCCGTGTTTGATGGCTTCCGTGTGGCATCCCGGTGTCCCTGGCGCTCCGGGGTCGCTCACGCCGGCGCTGGCTCCTGGCGCAGCACGGCAGCTCCCGCTCTTCTGCTGTTGCCGTCTCTGCAGCTGCTCCCGGTTTGGCTTTTTTCACGTACCAGCTGCCATGGCCTTGGCCGGGATGCAAACCCAGCTTCCCCGGAGCAGTGCTGGGTGCCGATGCCATCTGGCAGCGCTGGCACAGCCAGCGGCGAGTCTGGCAGCGCCCTGTGAACGTGGGTCCTCAGCGCGGGGAGCAAGCGGCAGGCGAGGAGCTTGGAGTGGTTTTGGGTGGAGGTGCAGCGTGTCCCTGCAGCCGAGGCCAGGTCAGTGACACCAGCTCACCAACTGTGTGGTGTGGTGGGCACGCTGGAGGGAAGGGATGCCATCCAGAGGGACCTTGACAGGCTGGAGAGGTGGGCCTGTGAGAACCTCGTGAAGTTCAGCAAGGCCAAGTGCAAGGTCCTACACGTGGGTCGTGGCAATCCCAAGCCCTGTCCTGGTCACCACATTTTGCCAAGGCCGGACAGCTCAACGTGCTGCGGGCATCCCGCTGCCCTCATGCACCATCAGCCAGGCGGGCTGTGCCGTTCAGACCGGGCGCTCTGCCAAGATGCTGCGGATACGATAGCTGGAGAAAAATATCATGTGGGAGCGGCCCGTGCCTCCTCCTGCCCTGGCACCACTCTGGCACTGCCCTGGCACGGCCCCCGCACAGCCCCGGCACGGGCCCGGCACTGCTCTGGCACAACCCCGCACAGCCCCAGCACTGTTCCAGCGCTACCCCGGCATGGCCCTGGCACAGCTCCAGCTGTAGAACCCTACCAGTGTGCTGGTGTGGCATTTTGGAACACTGCCAGCGTCCTCAGTTCCCACTTCTCTGAATTTACTTGCTTTTAGCGTTCCTTTTTTTGTGATTGCAGAAAGAGCAAAGGGCTCAGAAAAGGTTCAGAGAGCTGAAAATCTGCCTTAAATTTTGTTGACTGAAGTTACCGGGATTCACAGTAAAAAGGAGAAGAACACAGTCCATGTTCTTCATTGAGATTTTTGGTTTTCTGCCTGTGGTTTTTGACTGTTAGGTGCTCGGTGTACCATTTCTGAAAGTCCATGGAATATAAGTAGGACAAGAAACCCCGTTCCAAAACAGAGAAGTCTGCATTTCTTTCGGAAAATTTGCTAGGATCTGGAAAACCACAAAAATTGAAAGTTAAATGCTGCAGTAGATTCCAAAGTGACACACAGACAAGAAGGATGTGAACTCTTGATAGTAGCTAATGATAACTAAGCATAAGCCCAGGTTGCCTGAGGATGTGGTGTGTTCTTGTAGTCTTTAACTCAAGAGTAAATTGTCTTCCTTAAAGATGAGCTGCTAAGGGAACAGAAACGATGGCCTCGATGGGGAACCAACGGAGATCGTTATTTCCCAGGAGGCAGAGGATGTTGCGTTAGAGCGCTGGGGTGGTTTCTTCTGTCCTTAAAGCATCTGTAGTCTCTGAAGTGCATTAAGTGGTCAGGATGTACAGCACAGACTGCCAGGCTTTGGATCCAGTCCGGAGAGGGGTGGAGCAGCCTAAACCCCACCACGGAAATAAGAACAGTGAGTTTAATCTGCTTTTCAGAACCAGGTTTGTTAATTGCTCCTCTCTGATTCCAGCAACACATGTTGTAGTTTCATGTTACTCATTTAGCAGTAATTAAGTCTGATATTTACACTGTGCTGATGTCAGATGCCATCTTCCAGGCAGCTAGTAAATGTGTAATTTCGCCCTGTGTTACTTAGAGGTAGCAACAATTAACATGGGTTTTAGCATCAAGAGAAAAATCGACGTAAATAAAGCTGTCGCGAAGTGCTTGCCTTTCACCTGCCCTTCCCTGTAATTGTGAAACGCTTTGGGGGGCGCTGCCGAAATGGGGATGGTTTATTTGTGCAAAATGGCTTAAATACTGAACCATGTCGTCAGGATGGTATTAAAGGAGGGAACAGAGGGTCATTTGATCCGTAAGCATCCCCCCCCCGCCTCCAAGGCTGAAAGCTTGCTTTCCCCCGGATCGAAGGCTGCTGTGCGGATGAGCCAGGTGGGAGATGTCCTGCACATCGTTTTGGCCGACTCACTCCAGGCTGCACTGGCCCCTGCGCAGGTCTGGCTGCTGCTCCAGGCTGTTGGGTGCTGGTGTTGGTCCCTGGGGACATGGACGGGCCCAGAAAAAAACTCCCCGCGGCTCCCGCCATGCGGTGCTGGAGGTGTCCCTGGGAGCTCCCACGGGTAGAACAGCACCCAGCAGATGTGTATGTGCGTGCGTGTGTATGTGTATATGCACTCACATGTGAAAACTTTGTTACCATTAATAGCCCAGTAACTAAAATTCAGACTCCCTAAACACCAGTTCCTGTCATCACCATCAACTTGTCTCTTCTGCTTAGAAATCATTAATATTTGTTACTGAAGTATCCTGACCCTTATTTGCAGTAGGAAACTCCGTTTCCCTGTAAAAATATTTTCTCAGGCTGCACATGGTTTTTTCCCCATCTCCCCTGTAGCATAGATGTTGTGCTTTTAGCTCGTGTGCGTTACCCGCCCCTGCCTCGATGGCTTTCCAGCCTTTGGAGCCGTGTTGGTAGGGAAGTTTTCTTGCAAGTGACCAGCTGTCCTTTCCGTGCATGAGCCCTCCGTCCGCTGAGCGAGCGCCCACGGAGCGCCGTCACCGGGATGCGAAGGGGAAGACGAAGGCCACGTGCCAAAGGGCTCGGGCGAGCCCCCCAACTCGTGCCACAGACGAGAAGCCCAACGCTGGCAGCCCAGGGGCAGCATGGCACGGCCGAGTGCCAGGGCAGCCC